TAATTCTTTTAATTCTTTTAATTCTTTTAATTCTTTTAATTCTTTTAATTCTTTTAATTCTTTTAATTCTTTTAATTGTCGATTTTTAGCACTTTGGGAAGCATTTCAGCCTCGTTCTTTGAGTTTTTTTTCTTTTGCTTGGATTTCCGTTTCGTATGAAAAATCGTATAAATCGCAAAAATCATCCAATCTTTCTTTTATTTCTTTACTAACTTTGGCTGAGTTAAATTCGTCATTTAACAACCTCAATAATTCCTCTACTCCATCTTGACCATCGGTGGTTCCTAACTCACACTTTTGGCAATATCAACTAATAAATTTTTGTAAATTATCATAGTAAAGGTTATAAACAGTAAGTCTATTTTCAAAATTTAAGGGCAAGGGAGAAGCAATTATATCCATTTTTTCTCCTTCGTTTTCAATAAATTCAACTAGTTCAGGGTGTCCGCTTCAACTTTCTAAGGCAATGATAGTTTTTTTAATTTCTTGTAAATGTTGCCGAATAAGTTTAGCAGGTTTTTCGCTGGTTTTGTCTTTACTTTTTCGGCGAAAAAAAGGAAAATAACTTCCTCCGGCTGGCTCCTCAACTGTTTCCGGAGTAGGAAGTAAATCATTTTCAAACTCTCGGGCGGCTTTTGGGTCAACTTGTTTTAGTTGAAGGTAAAAGTCTATTCAACTCTGGGCTTCTTTATAAAATTTTTCTACTGGTTGAAAACTGATTTTGTAATCCTCAATTCTTTTTTTTGAAGCTTCTAATTGTTGGGTTAAAATAGTGTTTTTGTAGGTCATGATGTTTTATTTTGTGCTTTTTTATTCGAACACTCACTCTCCTGTTCTTGTGTGTGTGTGTGTGTGTGTGTGCTGCTACTCTTGCTTTCATGGTTATAATTATAGTTTTATAGAAACTTGTTTTTTATAAATATTGAATTCTACTGTTAAGCGGCCAAGGTAGATTTTTCCCCACCACCTTTTTGGATAAACAAGCAATTATTTTTAACATGGTTTTACTGGCAAATTTCTCAATACAAATCTATTAGTTCCTCAAAATCAAGCAATAATAAAACTTTTTCGCCAATTTCTTTCATCTCCTTTTCGCTCAAAGTTCCTAATTTCCCGGCTTCTTTAATTAATCTAGTTTCATTATAAATTCGCACCTGGTCGCAGAGGGCTTTGCCTCTTTTTCCTCCCACTATTACCGGAACCTCAAATTCATAAATTCTTACTAATTTTTTACTAGTAATCGGAATAGCCACAAAACGAGCATTTTTCTTATTTAAGCGATTAGTAGAGATAATTACTGCGGGCGATTTTTCTGCTGTTCGGTGCCTTCGGTTTCTTTACGGCTAACGCGAAATTTATAGACCTCTCCACGCCTAATTATCATCTCATTCTCAATCCTCATTTTCTTCGTCGTCTTCTTCTTGGGCTTGGTCTAATAAAGCAATTTCCGCTTCGCGTTCTTTATCGGCCAGGGCTTTCTGGTAATTAGCAAATAAGTCTTTGCGGCGTTGCGTTTGATTGAAGACTTTGTAATTTTGCTTTTCCTGGTCTAAAAAGGATTTTATTTTTAGTTGATTTTTGCTTGTATTAGCTAAAAAATTATATAACGAAAAAATTAAAAAAGTATTATGACACAGTTAATCATAATTAAAACTAATAATCCCCAAAAA